GGATTGTGCTTGGTTAGACCCTTTTCTGCAGTCATGTGCCATCTTTTCCCTGCTTGGAGAAGCCAGAGAATCTTCCATGGGAAAATGATAGTTCCCAGAGCTCAAGGGAGCTCCTGGCACAGCTTTTGAAGGTGGTATCAGCAGCAGTGCAAAGCCAGGGATTACTGGAAGAAAGAAACTGGGATCTGGAGAGAAATCTGAGAACATCTGCCCTTGTTTGCATTGGTAGTACCATCCATGTATTATATAAAATATAAAAATAAGAGAAACTGAAAGGAAATTAGTACAGCCCAGGATTCTGGTGGTATCAGATCACAAATGAAATTTATGATACCAAATCCTTTTGATGTATTTATCCCCTTGTGATTCAGTTTCCTATATATTGTTCTATATATAAGATATAGTTTTCCAAAGATACATATAGATTCCTTTACAGGTTAAATAAAAGCAAGTCTCACTGAATAAGAAAATAAGAGGAAATAATGTCCTAATTCTCTACCTGTATCTTTTTTTGGTTATTTTTTCCTTTTTTTCAGCTAAAAATAGCATGAAACACATTCAGCAGCAAAGCAGTTGGAATCCAGGAGAAAGGGAGAGCTCTGAATTCCTGGAGGATTAACCTGTACTTAGTACTAAGTACGTTAACTGTACATAGTTAATGCACTATGCTGAAATAAACAACGTAGACTTCTGGCTTGGGAATGACAGGACCTCGATCAATGCTGAGTATTATTTATCCAGCTGCAACTTCTTTGAATTTCCCCAAAACCACCTATGGATTAGCCGTGTTTAAAGGCTGCTCTGACATACACCTAACCTACCTTGAAAGCCCCAAATTTCAGTGCTTCCTTGTGTCTCCCCTTAGTATTAGTACTCGGAAGGAGGTAATGGGACAGCTCCCAGCAGGGTATTAGCATAACAGACGGACAAGTAATTCCGTTCAGTCCTTTGTTTGCACGAAGGACGCGGCGGCTGGCGCGGAGCACGCCCAGCACCCGGGTGTGCACAGCGCCCCGCGCTCTGCTGCGGCGAGGCGTGCTCCTCAGCCAGCAGCCCGGCTGCAGGGGAGTGTCTGCCCTCATCTACACGTTCCCACACTAACGTGGACTAAGGGCTCCTCTCGAGCAGCTGGAAGAAAACCAGCACTGTAAGATGAGAGTGTTTCTGTTTTCAGTGCCAACGGCATTTAGGCTGATTAGGTTGTGCAGAAGTATGCTGATTATCCCTGAGTCTAACTGTAAATTGAAGTAAGAGGTACAGTGCTCCCACGCATAATACCAGTAGTTTCATGATTTCACTGCAGTTGCTTCACAGAAAGAAGGGGACAGCCCTACCTTTATCCTGTGGAGAAAGCAAGACTATGCAGCTTCCAAGTTTTGATACTTCAGTACCAGTAAATTCAGATTTTTGTTTAGTCTGCATTGCCACATTCCATCAGTGAGTGACATCGTGACTCTGCAGCCAATGAGACACTTCATGCTTTGTCAAGGGGCTCAGTTCTTCTTCTTGTCCACCTCCCTCTCCCCTTGTAAATGGCTGGTTTTATTTTGAGTTGTTTTGAACACAATGGCACAGATGAAAGCATCTATCTTAAAGGAAATTTCAAGGGCCAACCAAGAGAAGGCCTTTAAAATCTCTAACAAGAGGGAAAGGAAAAATTGCTTACCTGTGTAAGCAATTGGACTTAGCTGGAGCAAATTATGTACTAATTAATGGGGACATGTTGTAGGCTGGCAGCACCAGTAATATGGCTTACTGCCTTTCCTGAGACAGGCTTTTACTAAACATGGATGCACTCGGACCTTGGGGATTTTGCAGTTTCTTAGATTAACACCACTCATGATTTTATTGGTTTGAATTGTCTCTTAAAATTTGGTAAACTAAGCAAAATAAGTCCTATTACTTTAGAACATTGTTTGATTCACAAAGACAATACTAGTTCACAGATGTACCATGTAACTAAATCAGCCTTGCTTCATTTATCCTGTAAAGTGTTACAGTCAAAGGAAAAACAATGACTTTTTAAAGTTAAAAAAAGAATTATTATTTTTTCCTCCATATTGGGCATCTCAGGAACAGATTAGAATCCAACAAGATAAAACAGTTGTACTAAAAAATATTCTTTGGAGGTTTGTACCTAATCAAAGTGAAGGCTTTGTTTTCAGAACTGTGCATTCTCAGTAAAATTAAAAAATAAGATCTAGTTCCACATATGTATTATCAAATTAAAATAATTTTGATGTGGATACATAGTTTAATACTGACTCTGGAAAAAAAAATATTAATCACTCCAGACTTAGGAGCTACGTTAGCTGTTCCTGTGCCACATGAAAATCACAGTTTCAGCGAGACCTTGCTGAGGTTCCCTGCTGGAAAGCTGAAGCAGGAGCCGGCCCTGCTGGGCGGATCCGTCGGGCTGGGATCTGTGTCAGTCACACGCTGCCCAGCGGGCTGGTCTAACCCCAGGCAAACCCAGTTTCCCAAGCACATGGATAGTCAGCAGGGAGAATTTTAGCTTGCCTGGTTTAACCGTGGTCTGGCTCCTTTCCCTGTTTTGGAATATAACTAGGCTTATTTATCAAGATAATGCCATAGAGCAATTTTCTCATCCTGTCAGTAGATGGGAGAAGACACACTTTCCATGTAAATATTACTCTTACAAATTACTCTCCACTGCTACAAACGCTACCTTGGATCTATGGATGGAAGATGAAAATCCTTTACTGCCTTTACGCCACTGCCTAGAGTGATAGCGCAGCCATGGCTTTCTGAAGCTTTTTTTTTTCTGAGGTAAGCCAGTGTCCATCCTATGAGGATGGAAATTATCACAGCTAGTGTGTAGCAAACATGTTTTTGTCACAGAAACTCAACTTCCAAAGTCAGAGAGCTGCTACACTATGAAAGATGATGTCTCAAACCGTGAAATGTGGCAGGTTCTTTTCTGATGAACTTGGGAAACCCCACTCCCATGATCTGCTTGCACTCATTGGACCATTTGAGATGATTTAATTCATTAACTGGGCAAAAGAATAACCGGGGGGTGAAAATCCACCCACGTCTTTGTGTTTTCTTTTGTTTTTAATCATTTCCAGTAAGTGCCATACCAAGGACAGAAGGGACACAACAGGGAGTTGGAGGGTTGAGATCTTTGAGCAGCAGTGAGCTGTTAAGTTAACTCAGCTGCTCAGGGAATCACAGTCTTACCCATTAAAAACAAACAAACAAAAAAAGTTATTACTGCATTTTTTCCAGTAAAGGTTTTAAATTAACTTTTAAATATGATTTAAGATTAATGAGAAATTCAGACACTTGCCAAACCACCCCCGTCACTCATCAGCACAGTGCTCTCAAATATACCAGTCAGACGTACACCAGGATTCCTTAAATGTCACTTCCAACTGATCATGGTTTGTTTCCAGTCTGAAGCTGAGCTGGAAAGTGCCTGACTAATGCCAGGTTTAGACAGTTGAGAGAATGGAAACATTTATGCAAATATTAGTAGCAAGAAAGTGACCAGGGAAAAAGGTTTCTGTTAATATTTGCAAAAGAAATTCTTTCTGCTTTTCCCCCCTTTTTTTCTCACTGTGTTAACATTTCCAGATAATCACTGTTCTTGCAGGTATATTTTTAAATATTAAAATTTTGAAACCCCTTGTTCTTAGAGGAGAGAACGTCTTTGCAGGAGAGTTGTGTCAGGATAGAGACTGTACTGTGATCTCTACGTCAAACAGCTGACTGCCTTTCAGAATCATTCCTTTGGCACAGGTAACATTAAATTTGTACTACCCTGTTTAAAATAATTCACAATTATGCTTGACAACAAAGCATGAGATGGGTATCATTAAATTTTATTGTACAAAACTGACAAGAAATGGCATTCCTTGGAATTAAAAAAGCAATTATAGATCAAAACAGAACTAATGTCTCTGGAACAATTTTGTAAATGGAACAATTAATACACAACCTTTAGTCCAGCAACGATATTTACCTGCAAGACATCTTTAGACAGGACAGGTATAATTAAAAAAATATTCCATTAGTTCAAGCAATAGTTTTAATTTTCCATGAAATAAGTATTTCTATAAACACTTTATGTTCAGTCAAAACAAATGCTTTTGAATTTTCTTACCTTCAGAGATATAAAACAACCAGACAGGTTTGGGAATCATCAGAGAAGCCTGCACCACGGGAAAGTCTAGGTTTTGTATTCTGCTTGAAAACATTTGGGTTTATGAAAATAAGTAATACCAACGTAGCATTTCCTAACCAAATACTTCTAGCAAACAGATGTTCCTTCTGTTATGTTTTATTCATCAGCATGGCACCAGCCTTTCGGGTTTTTTATTTGATGCCTCATTTCTGTGTCAAATTCAGAATTTGAATGTAGACCCAGGGAAAGGTTTTCATTCCTTTTATTCATAAAACCTACCCCTTATCACACAGGATTTACAAATGTCAAAATTATGCAAAGTCTTCACTCCGCTTCTTGGCAAAAGCATCAAATAAATGCTAAGCAGTTTTCCCTTTATCCCAGTGGAAGGAATGCTTCCTTGGAATTCTTAGTATAAATGTGAAATAAAAAAGGGAACTAGACAAGTTTATGTTAAATTCCAGTTCAGTTGTAAATAGCCTTTAAACAACAGTGCTACAAAGAACTGCACTATTTGCACTTCTGAAGAAAAGAGCATCAAAACTAAGAAATTATCAGGGCAGCTCATAGCCAACTGTGCCCAGAGAGCACAAGACCTCCTTTGCCATGGCCTAGGCTTTACAGAAAGTGCTTCTCTGCAGGACGCAGTCACTGCGGCGGGCGTCTGCCATGGCCCCGGGCACACGGGACCCTGGTGCCCACGCGCCCCCACGCTGTGCTTCCTACAAACAGAGTACGCCACAGGAACTGACACTTCCCATCCTCTCCCTTCCTCCAGCAGAAGAAAAAACCTTCTATGCAAGATAAAAATAATTTTGAATAATTAGTCGTGTATTAAAGACCTAGTTTTGAAGTATTTATTTAACATCTAGTCATATAAAATAAAGTGTAAAAGTATGAAGGTATCAGAACGTGGCTTTCAGCAAGGCAGTTTGGGAAGTAAGAATTCAACATAAAACAGGAAATATTCCCCCCCCCCTTTTGAAAAGGGTCACATCAGAATGAATGAAAAACACCGGAGAATTTCACTTCAAGCCTGAACTCCTGCCTTTTGTCCTTTCCTCGAGAGGAGAGACCACTGGGAGAACCCTTCAGGGTTGGAGTTGTGTTGTTCTTTGTGCTCTTGTAGCTCTGGCTCTGGCTGGAACTATGTGCTGCCCTCTCTGGGTGGCAGGGGTGGCTGAGGCTGCTGTGGTGGCTGTGTGCCTGTCGCCGTTTTGATAGAGTTCAGGGTTTTGCTAAACCAAGAGTTTTTGGCAGCTTGGATTTCATTCATAAGGGCTCCTCTCTGGTGCTCCAGCTCCTAAGAAAGCAGAATAGTCAGAATTGATCAAAACCCAATTAGGTAAAAAAAACGCATCCTTGAACTCAGTCCCTGCAATCCAGCACTTTCCTTGCAACCTCCCAGGCATGAGGGAGAGAAGACAGACTGAAATTGTAGAAACAGCATAAGATTTTTAAATATAGAAATAAAAACCTCTTTTTTTTTTAACACAAAATTATTCTGGAAATTCTCAGGTATACAGTGGTAAAGGTATGTGCTCCCTTTTGGAACAATTTTTTGCATGAATCACAGTTATTTTGGATGGAGCACAGCAAGGTTAAGGAGACTGCCCTGCTATACTTGGATTCCACGCACCTGAATTTTGCACTTGGCTTCCACAAGCTGCAGTTTGGTCTGTGCGAGTTCCAGCTCCATCTCTCTCAGCTGCTTCTTCAGTGCATCCTTCTCATCATCCGTTTCTATGCCTTTATTCTCCGTGCTCACTGCAGGCAGCTTCAGTGCCCCCTCCTTACTGAAAATCTCACTGCAGTGTTTGCAGGCCATCACTTTCCCCTGAAATACCCAGAAAGCTCAGTTTTAATCCATGCTCCAGGAGTTGCTGTGCTTCCTGAGGAATTGTTTTCTGTTAGAGATTGCCTTTCAGTCAGTCAGCTCAAACTACCTAGTACTGCAGCTTTCATATTTGACATGAAAAGAATGCGAGAAGTTCATGAACAATTACTAGGCTACATTAGCCAGTATAAAAATTCCTAAAATTTACTGAGTGTGCTCTGCCTAAGCACAGAGGCTTTGCTCCCAGATCAGAATTACTCAAGCCCTCTAGCTACCAAAGCTTTGGAATATTTTGCAGTATTTATGCCAGTGTAATTCAGAAGAATAAATTACCCTCCAGGGGCTTTTTGTCTTCTGTAAAAGCACTTGACCAAAGTAATACTGACTGTCATGTTTTAAATAACACCAGGTAGCTTTTCCTTATCTCCACAAGTGAGCGAGCAGCCTGTGCTCACTGCAAGGGCTGGTGCTGTCCCACTGGTGCTTGTTTAGCACCCTCGGGGATGGCCCTTTTCACCAGCAACGCCTGACACACAACAGCGAGGTTGTTGTGCTGCCTGGGGAGGGGAACCACTTACAGCTGAAGATGAAAACTCAAATGGGATATTGAGCTTTCTCAGCAGACTGCAGGAACACCAACACTAATTTTTTTTTACCAGTAACAAAAAGTCACTAGAAAGTAACAAATCAGGTTCAGATGGAGTAGTAAAGAAACAACTAGAAGCTATAGCAGAGGAAAACAATTCTGCCTACTCAGTAGTGACAAAGCAGAGGGATGGAATTGTTACCTGATGAGGAAACATCTACCTCTAGGTGTTCCTGGTACGGGGGCTTACAGAAGGGAGAGGAACTGCTATGGAAATTCTGAGGATGGCCCAAGATGTGCCAATTATTTGAACCAATCCTGCTTAAATTACAGAAACCCAAATATAAATATTGTCCAGTTAAGCCAATTCTGATCCCTCCACTGTGCACACTGGAGAAGCAACACACTTTCTAGAGAGCCTTTATTTATTTTTTCCATCAAACTAAAACATCCAAGTAAATACCATCTGTACATTTTTGGGTTTGGTTTTGTTTTCCATAAGTATACATTTCAAAAGGAAAAATAAAAGCCAAGTACTATATGCACTTCAGTTTGAGAATTCCACCCTGTCCGATAATAAGATAAAAGAACCCTGAAAGAAAATAAACCCTTCCATTGTTTCCATCTGAGGAAAATTGCCTGTGGGCTATGAGAGCAGCTGTGTGGGCACTGCTGCTGTTACACAGACCTCAGCTGACACTCTGACCTGCACCCCTGGCATTCAGCAATACTCATGTCAGAAACGCCCCCTAGGTCCAGGCATCCTTCTCACCTTCACAACTTCCAGTTCATCTTTGCTGGCTGCCTGTTGCTTTTCCAGCCTGGTACTCAGCTGCGAACAAATCTGGAGCAGAGAAAGTGAAAAGTTTACTATACTGAAATATAACCTGTTCTTCTTAACATTTTTTTTTTGTTAGACCCAACATTTCTTAAATTCTGCCTCGCTTAGGTATTTGCAGTTCCCCCTTCACAAATCCACCACTGCTGATAATGAGGATAAAAAAATGACAGTATTCAGTACAGAACCTGAACACAGAGACAGGAACCTCTTATGGAATAATTGGTTTATAATATTTATGCTGCATTAAGTCACAGAGTAAAGAAACATTCACCCCACAGTACTAGAATTAGCTGGAAGACAGATTATTCCCGATTCCCTAAATTAGGAGACTATTAGGAAGACCACAGAAATAGTCACAACAAATTACAATGCTGGCTTTCTGAAAGCCTGAAATATATTTTATGGAGAGGATGAGATCTGCAACTCTGAAAATTCAGCTCCTGGAACAAGTTGAAAGAAGAAATATGAGAAAGCGTCTCCAGAACAGTACCTGTTTGTACTCTGCAATAATGGCTGTGGTTTTCTTGATCTCAGATTCTGCCTTCTCGATCTGCTTCCTGAAGACTTCCTTCAGCTAGGAATGGAAGGATATGTTACACAGTACACTGAGAGAAGCTCTCAAAATGTGTCATCAGACTGTCTTCTTGAAGTCTCGCTGTATCTACAACAGTTTTACAGCTTCTTAAGGAATCCCAGTTCTTCAGACAAGTGTCTGATTTACTCAGTATACAAATACCTATTATATTCAATTACAACTGAATATAAAAAGTCTGTGCTGTGATACAGCGTATCTGTGCTTAGCAAATCCTCCTCTAGGGTAACTCTATGTTGCAGTGTGAAAAAAAGATGAAAAAAGAGAATACTATTCACTGGGTTTTACTCATTTTGTTCTTGTTTTTCTGCATGTTGTCACAGCAGGTTTGGGCAGACAGATTATTTTTTTATTTGAGATGGAACAGAATCTCTCAGCACTACCTCTCTCATCTCCATCACAGGAGAAAAAAAGTCTAGTTTTGCCTGTGGCACTGCCTTAAATTACAGCTAAACTCACTCCTCCACTGTTCAGAACCACTGCGTTTGCAGTGGAGCCCTTTCAGTATGAAGGCCTCCACTGCCCTGTTTATGGCAGTGAACTTGGCAACCCCCATTTCAGAGAGACACAAAGAATTAACGTTTGATTCTTTTAGTCACTGCTGTCAAATGGCAAAAATAATAAATCAGGGTGTTGCTTTTGAAACACTTTCATGTGTGTCACAAAACACAGCACAATTCAGCACCTTAGACAGGTGGGATTAAAAAAACTAAGACTGAACATTTTGCAAATTACTATGAGGCCAGGTTTAGTCAGAAAAATTCTCCCAACCCTCAACTCTGGTCTGCTGCTGCTTCTAGCTTCATCCAGGAGTGTTCACAGCACTAGTTCAGTCAAACAGCAGCTGAACCCAGAATGGTCTCTTACAAGGCAGTAACTCTTCCAGGTCCTTGTTTAGATAATTACATGAGGTCTGATCACGTCTCCTTAGCTTCGACTGCTCACCACCACTGAAAATCACGTTCCCCATACTGGGAAGAGGATAAGGTATGGAGAACGGAACATTCAGAGCTCAAGTAAAGGAAAACACTGAAAGTCATACTTTAAAAAAAAATATATATATTTACCAGGACACTACAGATTTTTAATTGCGACTGCATTTTGAAGGCAAAATCCTTCCTACCGCTGCACATGTTCACGCATTTCTGCTTATCCTTTTGCTTGCATTTCCTTGCTAAAGGAGAAAAGTGGGAGAAGGCCTTACCTGAGCAGTTTCCTCTTCCTGCTTCCGTTTCTCTTCCTCAGTCTCCACTAGTTTCTGTTTGGTCAGGAGAAGTTCCTTGTTCAACACATCTGCTTTGTCTTCAGCCTAGAATGGGAGACGCTGCCGTGAATCGGGCGCCACCTGCGCCGCTCCAGAAGCACTGGTGTGTGCATCTCAGGACTACTGCTGAGCCTGGCTCTAGCGCTGCCTCTTCCTGCCCTCTGAGGGATCACCTAACCTCGTTTTTTAGGTTAAATTCCCTCTTCAAGTAGTTATTTTCTGAAGTTGTTTCACTGTTTTTCGGCAGCTGTGCAAAAGGACCCTTTTGCCAAGCGTTTACCACCACCCAGACAGCAAGTGAGCAGATACTACATCTTGATACAACCTAACCCAACAATGATGCGTAGAATATTACTGCGGGGAACAATATTAATCTAAGTGATGGCAGCATGATTTAGCTCCAGTGTAACTTCAGATATTTCAGTCCATTTCTGTAACTGTAAAAAGGGAAACCAGACCCTGTAGAAAATGTCATGTGCATGCACTGTGCCTTACAAAGTGTTTGGGTGAAGACCTGTATAAAAACATGAACAGGACCACTGAAAAAGACGGTTTCTTTATCAATGCAAGTAAGGGTAACCTGAAGAAACTTGATACTGTGTGTGTACTGGAGAATACAAATTTTCTTGTTACTTTGAAGCTTATGGTAGAACCAGAAAATCACAGCATCATTTTGGTTGGAAGAGACCTTTAAGAACACGTCCAACCATTAACCCAGCACTGCCAGGTCAACACTAAACCATGTCCCTCAGCACCACATCTACATGGCTTTTCAACCCCTCCAGGGATGGGGACTCCACCACTGCCCTGGGCAGCCTGGGCCAGGCCTTGACAACCCTTTCGGGAAAGACATTTTTCCATCATGTCCAATCTAAACCTTTCCTGGCACAACTTGAGGCCGTTTCCTTTTGTCCTTTCACTTGTTCCTTTGGAGAAGAGACCCACCCCCACGTCGCTCCAACCTCCTTTCAGGGAGTTGTCAAGAACAAGATCGTTTCCCCTGAGCCTCAGTTTCTCCATGCTCAACAACCCCAGGTCCCTTAGCCACTCCTCACAAGACTTGTGCTCTAGACCCTTCACCAGCTTCACTGCCCTGCTCTGGACACACTCCAGCCCCTCAATGTCCTTCTTGGAATCAGGGGACCAAAACTGAACCTAGCCTCACCAATACTGAGTACAGGGGGACAACCACTCCTTAGTCCTGCTGGCCACACTAGTGCAGATACAAGCCAGGATGCTGGTGGCCTTCTTGGCCACCTGGGCGCACACTGGCTCAAATTCAGCCATCTGTCAACCAACACCCCCAGGTCCTTTTTGCTGGGCAGTTTCCAGCCATTCCTCCCCCAGCCTGGAGCACTGCAGGGGGTTGTTGTGACCCCAGTGCAGGACCTGGCACTTGGCCTTGTTGAACCTCATCCCACTAACCTTGGCCCACAGATCCAGCCTGTCCAGACCTCCCTATAGAGCTTTTCCACTCTCCAGCAGATCAGCACTCCTGCCTAACTTGATGTTGTCTGAAAACTTGCTGAGTGCCCTCGATACCCTCAGGGAAATACACTGGGGAAACTTTAGCTTTGTGAGCACTGTCCTCACTGATCATCACGAGAGAAATGTATTTCTCAGTGCCTGGGTATTTTCTGTCACCACCCCAGCTGGGAGATACACACTGCATCACACTGCTCCTGCTGTTTGGGAACGAAGTGTGAGGGCTGTGGGCAAGTAGCACTTAAGTTTGTGGAAAATGCAAGAGGGAAAAGGCATTGGAAACAACAAAGAACAGTACAGGACTTGTCCTGGAGTGGCAGTTTGGTTTTCTACTAGTGCTGGTGGTATTGGCTTATCTATTTGCCACAGCACTAATTATTAGAGAGGATGTTAGTGGCGATGGTGGGCAGCAGAAGCAGCTCCACCAGGGCCACAGCTGAAGAGATGGACTGAGGATCCCTGCATTGCCTGGTGTGCACATGGCTGTATGGGGGAAAGGAAAACAAGCAGTGAAAGAACAGAAAATTGGCACAATGACATCTTAGAACAGAAGTAGCCAGGGATGACAAGGCTATTTTTGAGGAAAGGTCTATTTAAGATATGCTTAGAAGGAATATTTCCTCCTTTTATGTGTTTACTCCATGTTCTCCAAGGCCCTGCAGTGGTGTTTGTATCACCTGTCCTTGCAGATGAGGAATGCAGGAGCACAAAGCTTCTCTTTCTGTCACTTCAGGGTGTGGAAAAATTTCATGGGGCTACTTTTGTCTACAAAAAGACCACTAAAAAAAGACCATCTCCCTGCAGGAGAGCAGGGAACAGGACTGGCAAAGGAATGTGCTTGGCTGCCTTGTCATGATACTTCAGAAAAAACACACACGGGTAGCTGCAGATGTAAAGCTGCTTTATGTAGAGCTACTCCCAGGGAAGACAGAGCACCTCAACACTTTGCTTCTGGCCTGCAGAGATCACCCACTCCACCATGCAAAGTGCACCTCTGCCAGCATCTGTGCACCCAGACAGCTCAGATCTACACAATCACACGGATCCAAACCAGCAGAGCCTGACTGTCAAGGATCTGCCTAAACCGAAACACAAACAGTGTAAGTGTGCTCAGTGATGTTTACAGTTCTGAAGTTAGAGGAATAAAGCCAAGTGACTACAGGAAATCAAACTGGGAGGCCCTAGCAGGAGGAGATTTTACACTGTAATAGCCATTGCAGCCTCACTGAGCAAGGGACTAATGCTGAGGTGTGGTGGCGTTCGGCCCTCCGGCATTTAGTACCTTAATAACAGCTGTTACGGCAATTATCCATATTATATAAAACACTCCAGAAAGGAGGGCTGAACGTGTAGATATCTGAGCTAAAGGGCTCTGAGTGCTGATGCCCTCCACATTCCAGTCTTCAGAGGAAGCAAAAGCAGCTATCAAAGGACACTTGGGAGCTTTTCTAATTTTTGGTGCCATGCCACTTCCTTATCTCTGGATTTTGTTGGCTGTACTAAAACTGCTGTGAAAAGCAGATACATGTAAGTTGGTAGACATCCTGCAAGGCTACTTCCCTTGAAATTAGTCTTTGAGGAGCACGTGGTATCTTTTCAAGTACATATTTGTTCTTTTGGTATCTGCCTAACGGTTATGGCTCACGTTTTCTGCAACGATCCACCACAGAGAAGGTGCAGTTGGTGCTGGGAATGCCTAAGCTGCATGCACGTGGAAATCTGCCTTGCTAGGAGGGAGCTTGTCAGGAAAATAAAGGCACAGGTTATCACACTTCTAATGTTGTGTTCATGCTTTCACTCGAGCACAAAGCAGGGCTCCTAAAGCTGGTGTTGCCACGCCTGTGCCGGGACCCATCCCTGTTACCATCACCTGGTCCAGGTCATTCCGTAAGGCAATTTTGCTGGTTACAAGCTCATGGGCAAGGTCGTCGTTCTCCTGCTCCAGCCGCATGCTTGCTTCCTGGAGCCTGCGGTTCTCCCTCTGCAGGAAGAAAGAAACAACCAGAGAAGGAAGTTACTCCTCACCAATATTAAAGAGCAAGAAGCGAGTACATTGTGTGTGTAAAACACTGAGAAGGCAAGAGTGCACATGAAGACAGGACTGCTGCTCTGGGAAACCACAGTGAATTAAGCCAGCAGTGCAAGTGCAGCAGTTCCACTTACATCCCAATGGTTGTGTTTGTGTCACGCGGGTGACACTGACTGTCAGGTCTCTCTGTCCAAGGTAAACATCGTCCTCGCCACAAAAGCATTTGGTTTCTGCTTGCTCATCATCAAAAGAAATCAAGCAGATAAAATCCCACCCGGCAGCAGTGAACAAGGATCAATTAAGAGATATTCATCATAATGTTTCCAACTGAAAGTAGAAAGCTGCCCTGCTTCATTTTACACAATTCTGTCTGCAGGAATCCATAAAAATAGCCCGTTTTGTAGATGATGTCCTGCCAACCTCCCAACTTCTGTAGGACCAGTGAAGAACAACACTTAGGAGGGAACTCCCTACGGCTCGTACAACCTGTGTTGCCGTTTGTGCACTTTCTCTGGAACTTGCTGCAGTGACGACAGCACACAATTTACAGGATACTTGCTGAGAAAAAGTGCCAGATGGAGAGGGGACCTCACTCCCTGCACACAGAACCTGCTTGGCAGGCAAGGCACAGCAACATGAAATACGGAACTTGGAGACTGCCGGCCCTGGTCCTCGCTGCACTGCACTCCCTGCTCGCTCTGCATAGGTGGAAATGGCCACGGAGGGCACTATCCAGAGGAGCTAAGTACACAGGAGAAGGATAAACTGTAGTAGTTCATGGTCTTTAAAAATCAGTTTCAGTGACTTGTTCTTCTAGGGCTGAGAAGCAGAATCATATTCAAAAGATGCCTGTGGGTCAGTTGAGTATACATCAAATGCACACCTTCATCTCCAGAAGAACACAGCCAGGTGGGATAGACAGAGGTGCCCTGCTCAAATGGCTTTTAGAAGAGCAAATAATGTGCTGGCCTTCAGTCACACAGTAACTGTGTATCTCATACCAAAAGAGACTACAAAGGGAATCTGGGCACTATGGAAACTCAAGGAAAAATGCTAAGTTCACATTGAAGCTTGTAAGTGGAAGAATAATAACCTACATGCTGAGATTTCAAAAAGGACGTGTGCTCACTTGAAAGGTAAGTTATGTTGTCCAAGAAAAAACAGTAGAAATCAATATATATCAGCACTTAAGACAAAAAAAATGTCTAAGCGTTGTTCAGTGAATGCCTTCCTACAAAGTGTGATTTCTTTGCATAAGCACATTATTCACCTGTCTTCACTTTCTCCTGCTCGCCAGCTGTGCTCAGATATATTTCTTCTTTCCAAACTTGCCACCATGAAACTGCAATTTTCATTTCTGTTTCAAGATTTTGCATGCTTATCTTAAAGAAAAAAGGACAACTACAGCTCTAAGAGGATGCCAAACCAGGTCTCTTCTGTGTGGGAGTTTCCTCTGGGGCAGGAAGCAGAACCTCTGCAAATAATCTCTCCTTAATGTGGCCCTATTGTGCAACTAGACTGCACTGCCCTGTACAGGAAAGTAAGTTCATTTCCTTTCCAAAAGATCGTACTTTAAATAACTTGTTTTGTTACACAAACTGCAAGTAAAAAACTTTCATTTTAACAGAGTTAAAATAACTACTGCTAAAAGATGCGTAACTCTGGAGATCTTTTTTATTTCAGTTGTATTCCGTTTGGGACAAGGAAAATTTTTAAGTAAAATTCTTCTGTAACGATAACATATACTTTAAAGCATAAACCAAATTGCAGGCAATCATCATCATCATCATCATCATAATAATGGTAAAAAGGCTTCAATATGTCTTTATTTCTGCAGTTTGCTCAGACCATCGCAGAAATGTTGATTTTTATAGACACAGCTCTGCCAGCGAGTGGACATGAAAGTGACTTGAGTTCACCTAAAAACTGGGAGCAGATAAGGACGGCATCGAGCACTACTGCCTGGTGCTGCAGCACCAATACCTTCTCACAGGGATGTTGCTTAGAGGGAGAAATCAGCAGATTCTTAAGACTTCCACAAAATAACCCAGAAAGAAGTTTGCTCTGACATTTTGCTATGCTTTTGCCAAAAGCTTCAGTGTCTGCAAAGCAAGCTGCACAACGTGAAGTTCAAAGTTCCTGCTTTGCATTCGCAGACAAGTGGGTAAGCAAGCTACGTGGCTGGAAATGCGCTATCCTCCTCTTAAACTAGAACTGACAGGGCACGCTGCTAGCAAGTGAAAGATCTCTTACCTTGGGCATCCAGTCAATAGCTAAGAGATGTTTCTATCTTGTCCACCATACTTTTAATTTCCAGCTGAAAGTCTCTCACAGGGCCACCTTTACTCTTCCTCCTCACAGAGCAGTATGTGCGATTAGATGGTTTGTCTTTTCCAGCTCCTCCCCCCAGATCTAGCAGTGAAAAACTGCCGCCTTCCTCAGGAGGAAACTCTTAATCTGCTTAAGTCTAAATAAAACCTAACGTTACACAGTAAAGACAAAAATAGCAAACAGTGCTTTTCAGATACAGCAAACTATTTTCAAAGGCTCGGAAATCTTTACAGGGTATTATAAGCTACCACTCGCCACGGCAGAAAGTTCAACAGATGGAGCTGGTTCCTTACAGCAGGACTCATATCGCATTTTGTAACCTGGCATAAGCCAACCTGTCAGACCTGCTGGTTGTCTGGTGTAAACAGACAGCTTCCTGCCTTCTATCTGCACACCACTAACAATTTACTGACTATGACAACAATTTCCTCCTCTTTGGCACTGCTCTGTTTCTACCATCAGTAAAATAAGAGCCTCATCCTTCCCAAATCCCTCCTTCCAGTTACAAAAGGCAGCTGGTGAGCTTTGGTTAGCTTTTAAAAGGAGGATACTGCATTTCCAAAAGGGACAAACACTGCTGATACACACAAACACAAATAAACTTACCTCCTGTAAAGTCACAGACCAAATACTGCTTTCAACCATTGGTGTAAAGACAGTGAAAACAGGATACAAAATGATTTTTAATACCAACAGACAGCCAAAAAACAAAAAACACCAGTTGCTGATTCTTCAGTGAGTTTTTGGTTCTGAGTTTTAAGGAGGATGCTCTCCAGCTTCCATCACACACACTGGATGGAAAGAAGGCAGCAGATTTGAAAGCAGAAGGCAAGCCCCAGCTCAGGAAGACTGAAAGTCTCAACTCCACCCTCTGCTCCCGTCCAGGCAGCACCACAGAGCAATTCCTGGGCAGATCAGTGGGGATGATGCATCCTCTCTGAGCTGCTGCTGGAGTCGGGTGTAACGAGTCACAGACCTTGTTAAGCAATTCATTGGCACGCTTTCTGATGAGCAAATGCCCAAACCCCAGATCTTTGGGCATGAACAGATCCTCAATGGGAGAATGAAAACACTGATTAAAATTCACTTTTACGGCTGTGAGCAAAGGAAATTATTTGTGAGCTCATCGGAAAGGGCTCTTTTTGGCAGAGGAAAACCCTGTGACCCCCCACCTAGAAACCCAAAAGTCTTTTACTGCAAACTCTCCAGGAAAACCTCTCACAGGAAGCAATACAGAGGCTCCTGGATGTGGCTTGTGTTCTCTGTTTGCTCTGAAGAAGCATTCCCAAAAGTGCCCCAGCACACTGTTATTTTAAAAAAGCAGAAACAATGATCCACATCACAAGTTACCTTGTTTTTCCTCATGACAGTTACCATTTGGTTACCATGACTCTGAACAAAAATGACCACCCTATTAATTTTTGCTTCCACTTCAAACACACAAAAAGCTATTATGTCCCAATTACACATTTATTCCAAGAGACAACTTCTCCATTGCACAACAAGGTTCACAGAGGAAAAGGTGTTTCTACCCTCACATCAGAACTGTGCACACAAGCAGGGTCTGCGTGCAACACTCCATCCCTTCTTTGTATGGTTATATCCTCTTTATTTTAAATCAAGAAGTCCCAGGCCCAACTCTGGCAATTTCTCATCAAGTCAACCAAAACCCTATTACATGAGATGTTCTCAAACACAGAAAAAAACCCACAATAGGTAGAAAAATATCAATCTGAACTATGTAACTTTTTTTTGCACATGCAACTCACTTTTCTTCCTGGCTTCTATAGACAATTTGTAATTTATTTTAATTAAAAGTCATGAAATTCAGTGACAAGTGCCAATTTAGAACATATTTACTTTTTGCACCTTTAAAAAAATCTAGCTGACAAAAACGTGAACAATAATTTGTTATGAGCAATGGAAAATAAAGTGAAAAGGTGTCTGTTAAAAAAATGCACTTTTCCTAAATAATACTTGTAAATACAGAAGGAAAGAAGCACCAAAAATAATGGCACTTTTTAATACTGTTCTTTTGGTTAAGTTCAATCACAAACAACACGTAAAATAGGAGCTGGGCAGGAACTCCTGTGGCACATAACGCAGCTCATTGAGGCCCATGAATTTAACCTGTCAAGAAAACGTGACTGGCTAATGGCAGCCAGATGCTGCAAGCCAGCCCTTTTCTGGAGCCTGTGGAGAGCCTGGGGTCAATGGGTTGTTAGGAGAAACACCCTGCCTGACTGTACCTCTCTGCTGGAGGCTGCTCAGCCCCACGTCCCCATGCCTGGGAACACCTCCAGGACCCAAGCGTGGGAGGAGAGGGAGAAGAGCGTGGCACCCTCAGCCTGCTCTGGCTGGGCCCTGGTCTCCCCTAGATGCCTGGTGGAAGTTGGGCTCACAGGCAAGAGCTGCGCCAGCTCCCAGGAGGACCAGGAGAAGGAGACGACCCTGCAGCAGGGTCCCCACTGTCACTGAGGCAGCTGTTCCTACCCCAGCACCACGCAGGGTCTGTCTCCTACACTCTCAACAGTCTATCAAACCATTTCCAGTGAGGGCCAGGCCACAGGCAGGTCTCGTACATGAGACATCCATCCTTCATCACTGCAACTCTAAAGTGTCCATGTCCCTGCAGTCCTGACAAACCTCTACTGGCAACAAAAACTGTAACGTGCTGCAAAGAAAAACTCTTAACAACTATAAAACTACCAACAGACTGAAAGCTTGTTTCCTTCTTGCCCTGTCAGAGGAATACTCCGCAGGGATCTCTGCTCCAGCGATCTCATCCAAGCAACGTGCCCTGCCTGGGCAGTAAACCGCAGGCTGGCGCTGCTGTGGGAGAAGGGCTGCGGGCCGCTGGGGACAGCCCACACACAGCACGAGCCCGGGGGAGCCCTGAGCAGACCCAGCCTCCCGGCACTGCGTGTGCCATCCCCTCCCGAGCCAGGCCCGCCTGGGCAAAGTCCAGCACTGGTGCTGCCAGAATGAAAGGCTTTTCTAGACACACGGGCTGCAGAGCGACCGTTTAAGGGACGAGCAAGGCTGGCTCTCCACTTCCTGCCCTAGAGGACCACACAGCTTGCGACTCTTCCTGCCCTTTGGAAACACCCTGGAAATGTTAATTCCTGCCAGCCTCAGCTTGACACATTAATAAAACCAAACAAGTAAGACAAGGAACAGAGAGCACTTAAAGCATTTCTCCACGACACTCATCAGCTGAAGAATGTGTCCCAGCTCTGCCCGTGAAGCACAACTAGGCAGTTAGGGGACTCTCTCTAATCACAGCATCGCTCAAGGGATCAGACCCAACCCGGCTTAATGAAAAAAATCACACAGCGAGGTTCAGAAGTATGAGGAAACACCCTGGGCTGCAATCCTGACTGTGACAGTGACTCACATCAACAGTTGCCCTAGAGTCACTTCCTATACCCTCATTTGCAGCTTGGGGATAATGTTCTTCACCATCCATTGCCCACTATTAACCATGCTTCCACTGGGCTTTAAAGAAAGCTGTATTTCTGAGTATTACTTTAATTCTACAGTACCGTAACAACTGGAAGAACACTTACATGTTAATCAGCAGCAAGTTGTGGGTTTTCTAAATAGGTCATACTCACTATTGGTTCTCAGCTGCTACAGCACTCCCAGTTCTCACCAACAATAAAATCTACACCCTTTGGCTCCCAAAGAACTACGCCCAAAACATAATGTACACAGGTAAATACTTTTAAAAAATAAAGATCCATTTTACTTTGTCTGCCCCTGTAACTCTTGTCACATTTCTGAACAATGGCATAGTCTGTCACTACAGATTTTCATACTGTGGTTTTCTGAGGATGATGCAATTTCCTCACATTCACAGACCATGTAAACCTGTTGCACCCTGTGGGATTATTTACTGCTCCACACTCCTGGTAGGCTCCGTACAAATTGCAATGGCACTTAATGTATTAAGGCACATTGAAGAACAGCAGGAGAACAGTACAGATATGTGTGAGCAATGTCACTTCCCAGCTAACCCAGGCAATGGGCAGTAAAGTGCTTCGTCTCTGGCAGCTTCACCTAAAGAAAAGTGATTTTCCATACCAGGGTAAGCAATAAATGGATCCTGAACACTAAGTGAAGCACATGCCTAGAGGCAGAGTCTCCATTACACAAAAATCTATGGCAACAGAATGTAGCAGTGACAATAAAAGCAAATACATTGGAAAGGTAAGCAATGCTGATCCAAAATTAAGGAACTATTTTTTTTTGGTGAGCTATCAAGTTATAGTATTAATAACTGAACCGTCATTTCTCTGCTGCTTTAAAGCAGAGTATTTATTCCTATTAATTCTATTGCAGTAGTACCTTGGGACCCCAGGAGAGCTCTGGGTCCCACTGTACTAGGCATCATATTTACAAAAAAATTACTAACACTTGGTATAAACAGAGATGAACAACAAGGAACATATCAGTCAAGGAAGAGTTCATCTTCCAAAAGTCTCTGTGGATGCCACTGCACACAGCTTGTGCTAGAACAATGTGTATTTTCTCCTTTCTGTGTCTGTAGCTGAGAATCACCCTTTGTTTCTGCGTCTCATGAAGATCTCCCGTAAAAGTGCAACAGCAGGAGAGTTACCTACAAACATATAAACTGAAAGAAGAAAAATATTATATGTGGCTACTTGCAGATGTCTTGAGAGTTACAAAATGTGATTGAAATATTCCTCAGAAAAACACTAAGTCCAAGTGTTCAAAGTGCTTGTTCAAGAAAGGGGATGAGTTTCACCTGCCACTTAACCTCCCTAAGGTCTGTACTGGCACATGCCAGTGAGGTGAGGGTGGTACACACACCTCTGATTGACCACTGGGACCGGGTCACTCCCCGTGGGACTCAGACCATCAGAGGTTCCCATTTAGCAACTCCCGTACCTTGTATCTGTCCATAGGATCTTCCTGCTGCAGCTGACTCTCTCGCATCGTTTGGTACTCTCTCTCATATTTCTTCAGCTTTTTTGTTGGCACCTGTGGAACAGATTTGGAAAGCAGGCATTTAGAGATGAGAGGAACAGCGGAAGGGCTGTCTGAAAGTTCTCCTTGCAAACAGGAAGCCCAGGAAGTGCTGAAAAGCTGCTGCTGAATGAAGTCGCTCCCCTCTGCCCCCCTTCCCTACTCAGCAAGCCACGTCAAACACTCACCAGTATGGTTCACATCCACACAAATCTTTCTGCATCTACTGTTCAAATATTTAAAGGAAAACAAGAGTGAAGTAGAGACATTTTAATAGCAGTAACAAGAAGAAAAAAAAAAGCATGAGCAACAGGAGTGAGAGAACAGGGAGGGGGAAGACATGATTTGACATATATGATTCACCAAAACAATGTCTGAGCAAGGCACCCGTTAGAAGTGAGATGAGAAGAAAGGAGTGTTCCTACAAAACGACTGGGCAGTTCTCTGGGGCAGATCTGAGTAATGGCTTTTACTGCCTAAAGAGTACTGACGTCTAAATTGCAGCTTGTGAGCGTGCCCTGAGGAGGCCTCAGGCTGCCCCCAGGCATGGCGGAGACGCTGCAGGGCAAGTGTTTGGCCCCCACCACGGCAGGGCAACTGCAAGGCGGCCACAGAACCACGGGCAGAGCCCCTCAACAACCGCACGGAAAGGTCAAGTCCCAGACAGCCTGACTTTAGGAAACACACCTTCAACTTGGAGCAAGGTACATGAAGAACACTTGTGTGCTCTCCAACAAAGCATGGAGAACCTGTGCTTCACTTTCATCATTTAACTGGTGCTACACAAGCGATCTCCCCTCTCTCAGGAGACCTTTGATAGCATTACTCTGTCCCCATAGCGACATACCACAACATGAAGCCAGCCCTGCTAAGTGTTGGGTCACCTGCTGGCAGCAGGGGGATCCCTTAACCCCATGTACCATCATGACCTCTAAAAAAATGCTTTTAGTGGATCTGTTCTGTATCTGTCTGATCCTCTTGCCTCTATTGATACTGTTTAGCTGACTCCTGGTGTGCAGATATGCCACTGTCACCTTGCCTTAGGGAAAAAAATTCCTGCCACTGAACAGAGATATGTGTATGTATGTAGTTTTGGTGCTGTTTTCCCTTTACTGGTTTTCAGCCCAATAACTCCTTCCTCTGCAGTACAGGAGGGGACCAAGCAAGTGCTCAGAGTCACTGCAAAGGCCTCTGGGAGGTACAGGTGGAAGCCATGAAACTCATGATCTACAGTGCACAGGGAGCACTTGTAAAGCAGTACTAATGCCCACGGTTACTGGAGGAATCTTAAACCAACCTCCCTAAAGACCCCAAAGGGAAAAAGGTAACCATAAAAACACAAAGAATTTTGGACAAACATACAAGAGAATGTAATTTTGATGACACTGCATAGCAGAAAACACAATGAAATGAAAACTACTAGATCAGAGATGCTTTTTTTACATTTCAACTGAGCAACATTCCAGATGCAAGTCCAGCCTGTTTTGTCATGCCTGCAACATGAGACTGTTAAGGCTACATAATGTTCAAGAACAAGAAATTGTTCCAAAGCAGTAGTCTAAGCGAACCAGTCGCACATCCAAAGCCTGATCTATTCCCTCCTTCCACGGTGCTTAATAGGATCTTACTCAGAGCACTCATCAAAGCTCCCAGGCTGGGGTGTTCCAAGGACACCCTCCAAACCTAGTTCTCCTGTGCTGCCGTGGAGTTCCGTGCTCCAACAGGTGACCAGCAGAAACTGGGGATAAATATGAGGGGCATGTGGTGCACTATGGCAGAAAGGCGTACTTAGAAGATGATCTGTTCAACCAAAGGTTGTCCTGATACTTGATGCTTATCATTGAAACCTTTAAAGTCCACATAAGATCAAAGTCTTGCTACACAGAGAAGCCTCCCATCCACGCAGCCGCACGAATGCTTCAGTGAGAATCTCACTGTCTGAAGGAACAGGAGACAGAAAATAGATTATTTTGTGTAAATGGGGAGAAAAGAGGAGAAAGTGAAGGTCAAGAAGGCACAGTCACAATCCTTTTCTTCACAGTAGCTGCCCCATGTGCAGGAGAGTCCCCCACATTCACACAAGTGATGTTGGGGGTTCCTCCAGTGACCAGCACAGCAACCCAGCAACAGCTTCACCTTCACAGCTGCCTGGAGCAACATCCCCCTTCCCCTTCAGCCACGAGGTTTGCTTAAGTTACTTGTGAAGGAAAATCACAGATGTCTCGACAGTCCAGGAGAGACAGGCAACGCACAGCACAAAGGTAACGATCTGAGCAAGTAACTCTCCTGAGAGAGCAAACAGGACACAAAGTGCTGCTGTGACCCAGGTGGGTACGTGGGCACTGTGCCACAGCCGTCCCTCGCCAGGCTGGGCCTGGGCGTGAAGAGCTGACTGCTGCTTCCTGGTCACACCACCTCACACCCAGCAGCGTGCAGCTTTCCTTGCTTAATTCACAAATGTTAATTTTTCTAACTGCCTGAGAGCAGCTTTATTTCTCTAGTTTCACGTTCTGTATCAAGAAGAGGTAGAATTTAAGTTGCATTGAGCCTATTTGGCACTTAATCATCTGCCTTGACAACACCAGAAACTAATCTGAACACAGCACATCAAAAACTGTAGGATGAGCAGGGGAGAACTGAGAGCCACCTGCTTCCTTTAACTCTGCTCTCCACCATCTTCACAGGCCCTGCTTACACTCACTGACAATTCACAACTGTTTCTTAATGCCTGGTAATTCATCAAACCAACTGATCTTACCTATACATTCTCCTTTAGTTTCTAAAATTTTAATTTGTAGAATCTTTCTGGTTGGAAAAGACCTTTAAGATAATCAAGTCCAGCCATTAACCCAGCACTGGCAAGTCACCATTGAACCATGTCCCTCAGCACCAGATCTACACGGCTTTTCAATCTCTCTGGGGATGGAGACTCCACCACTGTTGGCCTTGGCCAACTAGGCACACTCTGGCTCATACTCAGCTGGCTGTCAGCCAATACCCCAGGCCCTTTTTTTGCTGGGCAGTTTCCAGCCACTCTTCCCCAAGCCTGGCGCATTGCAGGGGGTTGTTGTGACACCAGTGCAGGACCTGGCACTTGGCCTTGTTAAAATTCATCCCATTTGCCTCAGCCCATGGATCCAGCCCGTCCAGATCCCTCTGTAGAGCCTCCTGACCCTCAAGCAGACCAACACTCCCCACACAACCTGGTATCCCCTCGTCCAGATCACTGAGAAAGATACTAAACACAGCTGGCCCCAATACTGAGCCCTGGGGACACCACTTGTGGCCAGCTGCCTACTGGATTTAGCTCCATTGACCACCAGTCTCTGGGTCCAACCATCCAGCCATATTTTGACACAGTGAAGAGCATGCCCACCCAAAACATGAGCAGTCAGTTTCCCCACGAGAATGCTGTGGGAATTGGTGTCAAAAACTTCACTAAAGTCCAGACAAAAAAGAATTCCATTCATAGCTGTGAGTAGAACCACGTGCATAGGTCCTCTGTGGCTGTATGGGGGATAAGCTCCCTCCTTCATCATGATAGGAGCTACCCATGGCCATTCCTGGCATGCTCTCCAGCAAGTAAGCAGCATAGCAACACTTTAGTAGCAATATTGACAGTAAATTATAACTGAAACAGGGATCAAATCATGAAAGGTGTAAGCATCAGAGTGTAAGGGAGTATGCTGTGACATGAGAAATGGCTTCTCTGCTTGTTGAAAGACTGTCATGACTTATGCATGTTAGTATCTATTTATACTACAATCTTGTCTTAATTGGAAAGTAGCACTTAAATACAGTGAAAGCCTATCTCAGGGGCTTGGGGGGAGAGAAAATTCCCTGTTAGAAACCCAGCCCATGCTAACCCACTTATCCCATAAAATACAGGCTTGAGCAGGTACACTTAATAACTTTGGTAGGGACTATGCTTTGCTGTTATTGTTTATTCAGCCACATTACTCAAAGGAGTTTGATAATTTATTACAGCACTTTCTTCTGGATATAGTGATAAATGGAAAAAAAAAAAAAATTTAAAAGCTCATTTTCATATTTAATTCCCTGAAGCAGTTTGTGAATTCAACAAGAGACTTCTCTGTAAGCCCTTTCCTAAGTGTGTGCATGGTGCTAGTGATGCTTCAGTCTTCATGGATTGCTCTGGAACAAAGCCTGCTCATAAATTTTCTGTGAAAGCTCCTGCAATACTGATTGCTTCTTTCTTTAGCACCATGGGGTATACTGGCTAGAACTGATGGTTATTGAGTTTAGGAGACTCTTATGGTTTATAAACATTGCTCTTCTGTTTATCTCAGTATCTTATCTCCTTGACTCATTTTATTTTATTGTGTTTGAGCATAAAATCATGTCACAACTAGTTATACATGGAGAAAAAGCCACGCAGTGCATCTTAATAAAGCAGCCATTAGAACTGAACAAGCAGAACCTCTTTCTGAAAAAAACCAACAACCACTGCACTGAACACCCCAAGGACTCCCTGCAGCGAGCTGATGGGTGGCAGGTGAAAAACAAAACCACTTTTTCACTGCCCCCTTGTTCAGAGTGGGCTGGAATGATCTGCTCCGCCCTCCCTGGTGATCCTGCGCCTGGGCAGCGTGCCAAGCACCGGCACCCGCTCGGTTCCAGGGGACCTCTCCCTTGCTCCGTGGGTTCTATAGCTGTTTACAGACAGTTCAGCCTGACCTTGCTGGATTAATAAATCACAGGTCTATGACTCTTTCCTCTGAAATGTTTTATTGCTCTAATGAAGCATGAGCACTCAGAAGAGGTAGTTATCATTATGTTCATTTGACAGCCGAGGAAATGGAAGCAGAGATATAAAGTGATTTCCTGAACATATTGAAGACAGCCAGAGGCTGATTCAGACAGAAAAAATCCTATTACCTGATTTCTAATTTCCAGCCCTGCCACAATGCCAGACTGAGAAGAATATCTCTTTTCCTGATTCCTACTTCTTCTCTCTATCTAGCACTGCATAAACACTCCCAAAATATATTATC